AGTGTTTTGAAGTTAAAAATAAAACTATATCACAAGGGGCAATGTGACCAGGCTCAGCTTACGACTTTTTCCTTCCCCCTCTGTATCATCACTTGGTCTCTACTGGAATGACATTAGCAGGAGAAAACCTAATGGGAAATGGGTTCTATTTCAATGGGCTTTCTTTCCCTCGAGGAAAGAGAAAAACCCTTTGCAGGATTATTTCAAAGCCAGAGCAGCCTCGGAGTCCTGTGTGTGCAGTGGACAGGTCCAGCTGTGCCCCAGGAGACTGGTGGAGCATTCAGCACCGACTGCTGCTCTAATTATAACCACGCTTCTCACCTAAGCCCAGTGGCTGGCTGAAACATTGACTTGTGCAAGTGACATGCTGTCCTGTTGCTGTTTCTCCGATTTCTTGTCATGACTAGTCAGCAGCTGTTCTCTGCTGGCTCTTGCCTTTCCCAGGTGGCTGGAGAAGGCAGTTTGCAATTCAGAAATCAGGGGTAGAATAAGTTCAAAGTACAGAACTAGAGGTGGAAGGAGGCTTAGATGCCATTTGCTCCAACTCTGTTTTGCAGATGAGGAGACAGAGGTTCAGAGAAGGTAAATTACTTGTCCAAGGTCCGTCCCATGGCTTACTAGTGTAGGAGGCAGAGGAAGGACCTACTTCTTTCTTCTAACTCCCAGTCTTGTGTAATTGATCTTTTTCAAATAAACACATTTAGCCATATTCTGAGGAAAGCATTTTTGCTAATTTCTAGATATGTGGCTTTGACTAGATTACTTAACCACTCTCTATCTCACTTTTTCCAGTTGTGAAATGAGCATAATGATACTTGGTGGGACCATGTGTAATAATGCATTGAGACATGTAAATCACATGAATAATGTCTCCTACATACAGAGGGCTCAACAATGCTAGCTGTAACTTGAAAGTATTTTAACTAAAAACAGTCTTGTTAAATTCTACTGAAATTACAGTCAATGCATTCTCCTCTCCATTGGATTCTTCCATGCAGGTATGTCCACATGGATAAGCTTACCTGGCATGAGAAACCAGCAGATGAACATTGTAAAAATTTCTAAGATGGATTTTGTATTCTGAAACTTTGATGAATGTGTTTATAAGTTCTATACTATTCTTGTGGATTCCTAATGAAGTTCTATGTATAAGATAATGCCATCTGTGAACAGAGGTATTTTTATTTTCTTTACTTTCTGGAGGATTTTTGTCTTCCCTAGAATGGCTAACACAATGTTGAACAAGAGAGGTGAAAGGGGCCATCCCTGATTTGTCCCTGACCTTTGGGGGAAAGCATTCAGTCTTTCACTGCTCAGTATGATGTTACTTGTGGATTTCTAAAGATGGCCTTTATCAGGTTGAAGGAGAAGAGTTTGATTGTCCTAGTTTGTTGAGTGTCTATCATGAAAGGGTATGGAATTTTGTCAGGTACTTTTCCGGTACCTCTTGAGATGATAATGTGTTATTTTTTTTTTTAAGAGAGAGAGAGAGAGAGAGAGAGAGAGAGAGAGAGAGAGAGAGAGAGAGAGAGAGAGAGAGAGAACTTTAACATTTATTTTTCAGTTATTGGCAGACACAACATCTTTGTACATGGTGCTGAGGATCGAACCCGGGCCGCACGCATGCCAGGCCAGCTGGCTACCGCTCGAGCTACATCCCCAGCCCGATCATGTGTTCTTTTGTGTTTTATTCTATTAATATTGTATAGATCAACTTTTGCATGTTGAACCAAACTTTCATTTGGTTCAACACTTGGTGGTAGTATATAATCTTTTCTATATGCTGCTGGATTTAGTTTGTTAGTATTTTATTGAGGATTTTGGGGGAGGGGGGTGGCATGGATACTGGAGATTGAACTCGTGGGCGCTTGACCACTGAGCTACAACCTTAGCCCTATTTTGTGTTTTATTTAGAGACAGGGTCTCACTGCGTTGCCTTGTGCCTTGTTTTTGCTGAGGCTGGTTTTGAACTTGTGATCCTTCAGTCTCCTGAGTTGCTGGGATTGCAGGAGTGTGCCACCGCTCCCGCTTTATTGAAGATTTTTGCATCTATATTCAGAAGAAATATCAGTCTGACATTTTCTTGTGGTGTCTGTTCAGTTTTTGTGTTGCGTTGTTACTGATCTCATAAGATGAGTTAGGAAGTATTCTCTCATTTTCTGTTTTTTTAAAGAGTTGGTAAGGAGTTATTGTTAATTCTTCTTTAAACATTTGGTGGGATTTAGCAGTGAAGACATTGGGTCTGGGCTTCTCTTTGTGGGAAGTTTTTTTTTTATTATTAACTCAATTTCTCTGCTTGTTAAGGCCTTAGTGTTTCTATTTCTTGTTGAATTAGATTTGATAATTTGTCTTCTAAAGAATTTGTTCTTTTCATCTACACTAATTATCTGTTAGCATATTGTTGTTCATAATATTCCATTATATTGACTTTTTATTTCTGTAATATGCATATAAAATCCCCTTTTTCATTTTTGATTCTAATAATTTATATCATCATCTTCCTCTCTCCCTCCCCCTTCTCTTCCGTCTCCTTTTTCTACTCTTCCTTCTCTTTTGGTCAGACTAGCTAGAGGTTTGTCATTTTGTTCATCTTGTCAAAGAATTAGCTTTTGGGTTCATTTTTTTTTTCTCTATTGCTTTTTCTATTCTGTTTCATTTATTTCTGCTTTGGGGATTTTTTTCTTCCTACTTTCTTTGGACTTGGTTTAGTCTTCTTTTCTATTTTTTAAAGGTGGAAATGATTTGAAAGCCAAACCATGAGGATGGTGAAAGGATCAGTGGTTGCCAGAAGTTTGGGGAGGGAGGGATAATAAGTGGAGGAAAGGATTTTTTGGCAGTGAAACTATTCTATATGATACTATAAATTATCCTCTATGATACTACATGTTACTATGCATTTGTCAAACCCATGGAATATGCAACTCCAACAGTGAAACCTAATGTAAACTATGGATTGTGAGTGATAATGATGTGTCAATGTATATTCATCGTGATAAATAGGTCACTCTGATGGGAGAGCTTGATAGTCCAGGAGGCTGTGTGAATAAGGGTAGAAAGTATGTAGGAACTCTCTGTACTTTCTGCTCAGTTTTGCTGTGAACCTAAAACTGCTCTAAAGCATAAAGTATATTAAGAAAAATCAAAAGTGAAAAACCAAAACAAAACAAAACAAAAATCTTCTCATAGCCTAAGGACCAATGACCCTGTCCCAGGCCTGAACACATGCTATAGCCCATATTTCTGCTATTTCTCCCAATACATGCTGGCCCAGATTAGTCTTATATGTGTGCTACTCGACTATTCAAATTATTGTTTCTTCTTTGATTTTAATTTCTAAGTAGAGAAGTGAGTTTCTCTTAATTTTATTATCTTGTTGATTTTAATTTCTAAATAGAGAGGTGGAGTTCTCTTAATTTTATTATCTTGTGATCAAAGGGTGCTGTCTTCATGTTATTGATTCATTTGAGTTTGTTAAGATTTATTTTGTGATCTAGTTTGTGCTTGAAACGAATGTGTATGTAGAAATCTACATATAAACTCTGCACACTTCCATTAGATTAAACTTATTGTTTGGTTAAATTTTTTTCATCCTAACTAAATTTTTATCTATTCACCTATCAGTTATTGAGAGTGTTTTATGATAATTTTATATTATGGTTAAGTATTTATCAAGTTTCTCCAAGAAACTTTTGGTTTAACTTTTGCTTCATATATTTTAGTTAGACGTTATTAACTATCTGCAAGTTCATAATTATATTTTTCAAACTAAATGTTCCCTTTGTTAATGTATATTTTACTTTATTTCTAATAAAGTGTTTTCCCTTAAAGTTTAATCTGACAGGTATTAATATAATTAGATCAGCTCCTTTTTTGTCTAAAGGTAATTTGCAGCTATAAGTTTCCTTCTAAGTGGTGATTTACTTTACCCCATGAATTTTGGCATGTTGTGCTTTTGTTCTCATTTATTTCAAAGCATTTTTCAATTTTCCTTGTGTTTTTTTCTTAATTCACTGGTTATTTAGGAGTGTGTTCTTTAATATTTACATATTTATGAGTCTCCCAATTTTCTTCTGCCATTGATTTCTCATTTTATTCCTTATGTTTGGAGAATATCCTTTGAATATTTCAATCCTCTTAAATTTATTATTTTATGACTTCCAATGCCCTTTGTTCAAAACATTTTCTATTTCTTTTTTCAATTTTGAAGTTTTCTCCAAAGATCTTAATTTTCTTAGTTCCTAGATGTATCATTTATTGAAAGGTTCTTATTTTACTATATATCTCCTTATTACTAATGTTGAGAAATGCTACTGATTATTTGGGTTGATCATATAGATGGAAAATGTGCTGAAATATTACTCTAAAAGCTTAACTCTGATTTTTTCAGTTTTCCTGGATTATCATCCCTTCTTCAAAAGAAGAATGATAGTTTTCATACTTTTTACTATGTCTGGACTCTTATTCTATGTTAAGACTAATGCCGGACATTGTGATGCACACCTATAATCCCAGCAACTGGGAGACTGAGGCAGGAAGCCAGCTCCAGCAATTTAGCAACTGGTGAGATCCTGTCTCAAAATAAAAAATAAAAAGTCTGACCATGTGGCTCAATGGTATGTCATCCTTAGGTTCAATCCCCAGAACCAAACACACACACACACAACAATCTAACTAATGGCAATGGTGATTTTTCTCTCACATTTTAACTGAAAATTCCCTCTAGAAAGCCCCCAAACTAAATATTAGAAATAAAATGTGTCTATAATTCTCTTTTATTCAAAGTAAATGACACCTAATGCCACTGTTCCTCTCTTTAAAAGTTTAAGATTGTTTCAGGAAGAGGGAATTTTGGAGTCTCATTGTCCTTCTAGAAGGCAACTAGGAGGCCTCTACCCAGGAAGAGCTTTGGGGCCCAATTTGAGTAGTGCTGAGCTACACTTGGGAAAAACAACAACAACAACAACAACAACCCTCTAGTTTTTACAATATTTTCACTGAAATCAAGAAAGAAGATAGTCACATGTAAAAGGCAAGAAGATGTCTTTTCTAAATGGTCTGCTATTTGTTAGTACTTTGGTCAGAGAAATGCAAAGTTCCAGCCCACTGGAGGGGTTCTGGAACCCTGGGCTGTCTCATAGACTGCAGGCTGCGAAGACTTGGCTTGTCCTACTCGACCAGGTTTGCCTGGGAGATAGAACAACAGCTGGGCCAGCAAATGTCCTGAAAGAGCAACCCTGTCCTTGTAACTGGAACCGCGTAGGTGAAAGATATTGATCCAGGCTGTGGATGGAAGAGCTGGATATCTCACCATTGTCAGGAAAACTACAGTTCTAGGATTTGGGCTGTCACAGGCATCAGAATTCAAGGCAGGAACTGAGTCCACCAGCCACTCCAACTAAGGGTCTTACATTTGAGACTCTCTTGTGGGACTCCATGAAGATAGTGCCCTGACCAAGTGGAAGGGCTTATAGGCTGAGGTAGAAGGGGGTTCTAGAATCCTGGAGCCACAGGAGAGAAAGAGTAAGGATTGACAAAGTACTGGGGGAGGTGGGCACATTCTTCTCAGCTGCAAGGATCTGGTTTGGTGGTTAGTGGTTACTGTTATTGCTGCTGCTTCTTCCCCGATTTGAACCTCCTGTTTCTGAACCAAAACTGGAGTGTGGGGAGGGGGACATAGTGGTGTCTTAATGAAGGTGTGTGAGGCTTCTCCTCGGGGGGGAAAACAGCTGCATTGTAACCCTCATGTCCTCTCCAACTCACCACGACACCAGGTTCTGAGACAGCAGAGGTGGGCATGAGGGAGGATGGTGAGGGTCAGGACAGGGACCTCAGAGAAAGAGGAGGGAAAGAAAGAGAGTGTGTCTCAGAGATTATGCTGGGGGTTCAGTGGAAGGGTCCTAAACTCTAGAGAAGAGCTCAGAGATGAAGGGAGAAGTGAGGAATTTGAACAGGGACTTTTAAGGCTTATTTTAGAAAGTCTCGGCAGACATGTTATGGGCCTTGGCGGAATCAGAGGGTGGAGGGAGTCACTTGTCCATTAGTAGTGCTGTGAATCAACAGACTACAGGTGTTGTGAAGAAGACTGAACCCAAGGAGTCAGTCTGGATGGTAGCCTTCTTTGAGTTCTGTAGTGCAAGGGTTACGAGTAAAACTGTGGCCTGGGTGTGGGGTGCCGCAGTCTGGCTGGGCACAATTCAGGAGCCACTTG